CAGGACTTAACATGAGCAGAAGCAGAAGGTAGTTTATTAGGAAAGATTGAAAGAGCTTACCTTACCTTGATTTTTAATAGAAAAACCATGCAAAGAGTGGAGCCAAAGTGACCTTACCTTATTGTTACCTAGCTGTTGATGTCAATACTAATTTTTCCAGGAGCCTTTTTTTTGTCTTTTAGTAATGTGTTTTGGTCTCAGTGGTGGCTTTCGTCTTGTTACTAGTATTGGGAACTTTCTTATAATTATGTATTTTTTAAAGATCTATGGATGAGTTTCAGTTTTAGATTCTTGGTTCTGTATTAACTGTCACCAAAGGCTTTACTTCCCAGCTCAGTAAGATCTACTTGTATAATAATATAGTGGGTTTATTTGTTTTTAATTTAAAATGTTGTATGTGGCTGTGGGTAATTAAAACCTCCATATTTCAAGAAATGCTTTTGACTGTATCATGCTGGAATTGCCTCTGCTGATGGTGAAGAGTTGAATAATACTCATTTGTCACATAGAGTGTTGACTCAGACACAGATGACTTCAATTCAGATGACAGAGGGTGTTACAAAACCCAGCTATTGACTCTGCTCCTCTTTCTACAAGTTGCTTTCTCTGTGGCAGGGATGGCTGACCTATGAAGCAATTCTTTGACAGCCACAGTTTGTAGCTAATTTATGTAAGTGAACCAGTGGTTACTTTAAGTTTTTTAATGCACTGGGTTGGCAACTCCAACAGCTTAGGGGCTGCTTCCTGTGTAAATCATTAGTGCTGGTACACTAGTGGCAGTCTTTGGAGAAGAGTGAAGGCCTGGTAGGATGTTTAAGCTGCCTGTATTAATGCATAAATTCTCTGGTTTTGATTCACAGCTAACTTGGGAAAAAATCTCTGCAGCAGTCTGCCAGCAGTTGCAGAGTAGTTGCAGACAACTGCTGGCAAGATACCTTTTCTTGGCTCCAAACATTTAATCTCAAACTAGGGCAGTTTTCTCTCAGAGCTTTAGTTGTTAATCAAATTTGGAGAAAAGACTACAAGAAACATTAAAACAGATACTCTTCTTTGAGGTTTCCATTCGGAAGAAGACCATTTACCTTTTTTGAAAGAAGTACGTGGTGGACACAATATGAGCAAACCAATTTATTGGCCAGGGCTAATTCTGTTGAATAACTTGCTCTGGTGTTAATTAGGAAGCTATTCTGACAAGGCTACCAGGTAGGCTGCTCGGGATGGAAGAAACAAAATGGGTTTGGTTTTTGGTGGTGGCATTGTTGGGAAGGGTGCCAATTTTCCTTGGTTTCCCTTCTTTCCTTTTTAGGATAATACCTTGCTGAGCTCACACGATAACTCTGAGGATTATGGAATCGGTTTACTTCTCAGTACAGTCAGGAAAGATAACGCTGATAGCAGTAGGTGAAAGAGGCACCCTTATTTTAATAGGTTAGGATAATCTCAAATTGAGGTTTATTGTTTATTTGTATATAGATATCTACTATGTAAACTTTAGATTTTTTTTACCCCAGAAACAGAGTTATTTTCCCAAGAAGAACTTAATTCTATTTTTGGTTTTGATTATGGCTTTATGTCCTCTCTTTGGGGTTAAAAATAGAATACAGATATCTTCTATCTAATAAACCTGTGGACCAGATGCTTTTCTTGCCCTTTTTCTCCTATAGCAGGATTGAATTCCTTGCACTACAGCAACCCTGAAATCATTACACTGCATTTAAAACAAAATGCAGAAAAGGATGACCTTTCGCTAGGACTCCATTTTTATTGCTAAGCCTGATCACTATCTTACAGCAAAAGCCAGATTGATCCTTAAACACTTGTACTTATAGTATCTGTTCTGAATTGTCTATTGTTTACTGTCTGTGCTCTCACTGATTATAATGCTGTGCATCTCCACAATGCAGGCTATTTGCCCCTTGGATCTTCACTGTACAGGCAGCTCTTATCTTCCTTGCTGATAGCATATCACCAATGGTACCAGTTAAGAGCTGAAAACACTTCCAGCATAATGGAAAGTTCTACTTTTGCCAGGATGACTCATTAATTAACCTCTGGCACATTCTGCCTGGGATGGAGAGGCTTCCTGTGCCAACTTAAGAAAAAGTTACGGGAAGATACTGTTATGTAGCAAAAGATAAACTGATTGGAAGAGTTTTGTCTGCCTTGTAGGAATTATGTTTTCTAATACTATCCATCTGCCTGAAACAATCTTGGACTCACTGAACAATGGATACTTGGAAATGGTTAACATCTTCCTTTGCTATAGGAGCAAACAGAAACTGCTGAGAACAACAAACTAGTTATAGGAGTGTGTGGAGGCAAGCAGTACATCCAGGAGGCAGTAAATAGCTTTTCCTTCCAACTGGCCACAAGCTTTGGCTTTAAATAGGTCACTGTGCAAATGTAGCTACCAAGTGGCCACTTGGGAGAGAAGAAAGAATAGTCTTGGTTTTGGGTGGTGGCAGGGGCTGGGAAGACTGTTGGGACCATGAAGAGACCGGGAGAGACTGCCCTGCATTAACACCCCTCATGTGCCTGTCAGACCTTGCTGAAGGTGAGTGGGCAGCTGGAATAAGGTTTCACTGTCCCAGCCTGGTGTGGATGGAATGTCTGTAACTCAGGGCTTCTCCAAATTTGTCCTGTGGACTTGAAGGAATCTTGTGTTACCTTCATAGTGCTGGGGGCACGATATACTTTTTGTCAAGGAATCTTTGCCAGATCTGTAAGACAAAACTTTGTGTGTCTGTAGCAGACTTGAACTAAGCAGAGTGGTCTGTACATGAGGATGGATGTGATGGGTGTAAATGTCTCCTGTGAAGAGCTGTAACCCAGCCTAGGAGTGAGAAGTGATCTCCACAACTTGAGATTTAACTGTCAGTAGTTGCTGAGATAAAGAGCTTTTACTGCAGAAATCCTCCTCCCTTCAGAAAAGGGAGGCTGTAAAAAAAATTATGGAGATGCTTCATTTAAGCTAAAAGCATTGTTTGGACTTACTCTGTTCACATTTGGGCATTTCAGGCTTGACAACTGTTTACTGAAACACCAAAATGCAGATATTTTTAATATCCAGTGGAGTTGCTTCATTGATTTCATCTCAGACACACACATGTGCAGGGGTGACTTCTGCTTTTTGCCCCAGTGAGTGGCAGCTTACCCAAAATATAGAAGGTTAGACAGACTTGTTGCCTGACTGTCTCTCTTTGGCATGTTAACTCAGTCTGATGTCTGTCTAGGAGGGAAAATGAGTGCTGAGCTATGACAGGCTTTGCAACCATGCAGAGCAAACTGGAGGGGGGCATGGTGCAGAAAGGAATATTACTCTGTACTAGAGACTGCAAACAAAAAGAGACAGATGAGGAGACTAATTATTTTAAGACAATGATCATGCTAAGTAGAATACAGGTTTAAACCATTTGTTTGCTTGGGAAACTTTATGGTCTAAATTTGACATGGTCTATGGCAAGTAACCAAAGAACTGCCATATGGAGGAACAGCAGCTTGTGTTAAAATCAAACACTTAACAGCTTAGTTTGTAAATTTCTGTTGAGCAGTGTCTGCAGTTCAGCAGCAGAAAAAGGGTGCTTTGTGGGGAAACTTGACTAAAAAAAAAAGGATGGTGAGATGTTTTTGAGTATTCCTTGCAGGTGCAAAAGGGAGAGGTTGGGAAAAGCTGTTTGTAGTGGGGATAGAGATATAGATCATATGTAAACAAAACTACTTACTTTGTTACTCAGTGGTGAAGTGACTGGTGGAACTGACTAAATCAAATATTTTCAAAATCTTACAAATTTAATGACCAGTCTAAGGAAGGTCAAAACAACACTAACCTTTTGTTATTTAAATAAAATAAAATACAAGTTGGAAAGGAATCTAGTTGTCATCTGCAGCTCTTTATGCGCTATAGCGTAGATATCAGCAACACTCTGCCATGCTGTGCTACACCTTTTTTTTTTCCCCCTCAAATTGAAGTTTAAGCATTAAAAGAGAAATTGTGCAGAATCAAGCTCTGTAGTTTCTCAAAGAAGCAAGATGCTACTGTGATATTCATGGCGTGTTGGCTCTACATCAGCAGCCAGACATGTCTCCTGCAGACTGCACAGATCACTGGCCACTCCTAATTGGGAGCTGCTCCCTCTCGGGAGGATGTAGCTGCGAATCTCATCCCTGTTACCCACTGTTCAAAATCAGTCCACTTGCAACCTTTGCCCAAGAGCTGAGAGGTGCTCACACCCATTCAGGGGTGACCTGGAGAGCTTTAGGGGACCAATTCAGCTATCCATACAGGAGGAGCTAATAGAAAGTATTTTCAGCTTCCCAGTCTTCATGAGGACCCTTCCTGAATCGATTGCTGGGCTTTTGACATCAGCACAATGATAAGCAGAGACTTGGATCTAGTAATGGCAGAAGATAGCAGACATCAAACAGCAAAATCTGAAGAGGTAAAAAGGGAAAATAACAATTTCAGTGTTAGTGGAGACAATGTGTCCAAAATAAAGAAGGGTTGGCTGCTTTTGTTTTATGTAAGGCCATCCTCCCCCACCTCCACAATAAAGCACAGGATGAACAATGAGAAGAATATGTTATGGAAGGGAAAAAGAATGATGGGGGAAATAATAATCACATGTACAGGAAGTAACCAATTAGTATCCCACAATCCTGCTCTTTAAAGAAGTATTGTCTTTGGTTCTCTGTCTGTGGATTCATGGGGAAAAATCCCTGAAATTCTGTTTCATTTTAAGAAACTGGGGAAAATGCTGTTGCTGTTGATTCTCAGTATTTCAAACAAGTCATGACTATTTATATTTTGAATACTTCATGTGGTGACACATGAAATATTGATAAATAAATGTAATGTATTAGATCAACTCCTGTGTCTCATCATCAGCTGTGTTGTGTTACTGTGTATAAACTCATGAGCTGTTTTTTATTCAGTTGGAATATATGGGAACAGCTCTTCACCTGTGTAGAAAACAATTACAAGTCCTTCTGTGTTCACAGGTTTTTGAATGCATTCTGAGTCCAAGAAGTATGAGGAAGAGACACCTTCTCTGCACTGGGGGATGGATCCTGTATTTTCTGCATTTGCAAGACTCTATATTAAAGATATAAAAGAAATGAGAGAATCTAAACAGGTGCCAGGTATGTATTTATACATGCAGGTTATGATGCACAGAGTATTATAATCGATTTATGCTGTGCTTTTTATCAAAGGATTGCAGAATGCTTCATGAACATCATGTGTGTCTTTGGTTTGGTTTTCATGTTTTATGTCTTTTCTTTGTATTTTTTTCTGTCCACAGAGACAAGGTACATCTGTTTGTCTCTTTTTGAATATGCTCTGCCTCGTAGGGTTTGTTGTTCTTCTTAGTTTTCTTTAACAGCAAGGATAGCAGCAGTGCTATTTTTGCAGAAGTGAAGGACCGATGGGTTTTTTTTGCTCTTCTCGCAACCATTTTTATGTACAAAGGGACTTCACAAACTCCAAACCCCAGTATGTATGTATGTATGTATGTATGTATGTATCTATCTATCTATCTATCTATCTATCTATCTATCTCTTTGTTAGTGTCATGGTGGGAGACTTTTGTCTTAAATCCATTGCAGGAATTAGGCTACCGACTGTCGATGTTCGTCTTACAGTGAGTGTTATTTAGAGGCCATTTTAAACTGTCTTATAACAGTCTTACAGTAATAGTGGTGTAGCAAGTGCATCTGGTAAAAACTGTTCTGCTTCAATTAGAGATATTTTGATTATTTTCAAACAAAATGCAAAACAAATGTCAGCAAAATAGGATTGTGGTTTGGACTTGGACAATTGTACATACACAGGTAAAAATGTATTTAGAGTAATTCACCTTATAAACACCAACAAATATTTCATGATAGCAAGAACAGTACTAGAATGTACAATACTACTCTCTTTTTTTACCTCTAAATTACCTGAATTTCCCTTCTCACTTCTCTTCCTGTTCTTTTATCTGAGTGAGTTGGCTTCTGCTTTAGAAACTCTTCCAGCTTTGTTTTCTCTTTTCCCGTAAGATGATCCTAAGGAAGTGGTATCTGTTATGTTGAGATACCAGCCTTTACACTTGGTGCACGTGAGCTTTCTCCACTTCTGTGCACCTGGCGTTCTGCACATCTGAGCTTGCTTGCAGCCCTGTGTAATTTTCTAAACCAAACTTTAAGGAACAAAATGAAATTTCATAGAACCAACATCCTGAATTTTTTTTTTTTTTTATTCTCCTGGTGCTGTGTATATACCAAACCAGATACCTTTCAGCATGTTGTATTTGTTAGCAACAAATGATAGCACAACAGAAACACTAAAAAAAATATATATACTTTGGGGAAGGAAGAACGTAGGTGTTTGTTGTCAGTGTTTCCTGCCTTTAATGGGCTTCTAAAGACCAGCTGAAGCTAAGGGTATGATGGGCTATAAATCAGTCATTCAGTAATGGTAATTAAGAATGAATGACTGCAAAACAAAGAGTTGTAACTAGGAGGAATGGAAAGAAATACAGACTGAATGTCAGGAAAAACATCCTTAGAATGACATCTGCTAAACCATGGAGCAGCCTTCCCAGGAAAAAGGTGGGATGCCCTTCACTGGGATTGTTTATATCCTGACTGTACGAATTGCCAGGAATTTACTGTATGAAATAGTCTTGTATTGGCCCTGAGGAAATGGACTAAATGACCTAATGAGTTTTTTCTTTCCATTTTTAAACATTAGGATTTGATGCCACTATGACTAATGCCTTAAAACAACACGGAGGAAAGCAGTAAACCTGGCCAATTATTCTCCTGCTATAAATGGTGACAAGAAGGCTGGAAAACCTCCCAGATAAAAACAGCAATTGTGTTGTCTTAGAGGCCTTGCAATGAGAGTGGGTGTCAAACTCGGTTGTAACACATAATCACATCATGGAAATAGGCTTTTCTCAGAGTTATCATGCACTACTGCATTGTGACAGCTTATCAACAAGAGAGGGAAGCTACAAATAGCATAAAAGGAGGTAATAATAATTAAAGCAGTGTCAAACGCCTCAGTGCTCAGTAATGCTGGTAAAGACATGACCAGCACTTGCCCTAGAGAGCTCTGTATCTGTAGCCCCTTGTACCCCTACTGTGGCTTCCTGTTGTGGTAAGAGCCGAGTGCTGTATGTGTTGTTTACTGGGTTATTAGGAACCTCAAAGGACATATTTGTCTGTAGCTTCAAATGTTTGGTATATTTTCATTGCTACCAATATGGAGGTAATTTGAACAAATAAGCTGGTAGGAGAAACAATTTATATCTTGAAGTCATTGAGTCCAACACCTTTTAATCGGTTGAATATAATTTCGTCTTTCACATTAATTTGAGTAGTTTCTTGGAGAGTAAGGGTGAAGTTCTATGTGAATTTATGGGGATGGAGAGAACCAGTTTTGTTCAATCTCTGTCATTTGCTAAAACTCAGCTTACTAACTGGGAAATGAACATAATAACATGTTGCTTCTTTGCATAATCAGGAGCTTGGAGTCTCTGCTCTACAGACTTACCCTGAAACCAGCCCAGACCTTTTATTGAGATGCTGTAAGGTTCGGTGAATAACTATGTACACTGGGAGCATCTCCGTTGAGGGTTTCTATAGCAGTGTCCTGGTAGATGAGAGAAAAGTGGACAGACCTGCCAAACATTCTCTGTGCCTGACCTGACCCATGACTGCATGATTAGTACAGCCAAATCTACGATGAGAGTGATAAATGCACCCTCAAAACATTGCAATGGATTTTCATGTGCAAAACTTCTGCTTAGGATCTGCTTGGCTGATCACCTATGATTGCTTCTGAAGCTTTTGGATTTCCTCTCTGTCTTGCATGAAGAAAGTTAATTTCAAGCTCACTTAAGGCTGCTAGCTATGTAGGACAAGTTATTTTTGGATTTTGGTTTTGGTTTTTTTTTTTTTTTTATACAGAACATTTTTCTGACTCCCTTGCTGCCTTGTTTCTCTTTCCCTTTGTAAGAATAACACTTGCCACAGTGTATGGAGCCAAATGTTCCCTTCTGAGTCCCTCGAGTTATCTAGTTTTCAGAAGACAGTTATTGAACATCCCAGATGGCCTACTTCAGTAAAGCAGCAGTATTCAAAAAATACTGCTGGAGAAAACACACTCACTGAAAACTAGCCAGCCCAGGGTATATTTGGAGCTTATTGCCCTATTATCCTCCTGATAGTGCACTGTGAAGCCTCAGTGTATAATGTTTACATTGGTGTTTGTTAACAACATTTGTCACTCTCTTGAAAGAGATTACAGAATGAGGCAACCTCAGTGCTGTCAGAGTCCATTGGGCTCTGATTTCTCACTGTTTCCTGGACATGTTTCTATGTGTTATTCAAGTTATCTTTATAGATGCACAAAAATAGCTTTGAAGGGATGTTTTTAGAACATGTTTTTTTTCAGAAACTGAAGTTCGGGATGCAGTCCACAATGACTGCAATAGTGTACTCCTCAGTCTGAGAGGGTTGTTGCTCTCGCCCTGCCCCCATGGCTCCTGTTCTTCTAGAAATGAAAGACAGAATTATGTTAGTTTTCCTTTCGGAGGCTCTGCCTTAATCAGGAACAGCTGCATTGTGAGAAGCTCAAACTGCTTCCTTTGTGTTCTATTATTTATTCTGAAGCCTCATGAAGATATAAAAAAAATTCAAAACCAACAAACAAACAACAAAGCAAAGCAAAACAAAACAAAAACCCAAATGAAACAACAAAACAAAAAATAAAAAAAACCCTAATGCCTGCAGCTGTTTTTCAGATCCAAATGTGCAAGAAAACAAGAGGTGAATGAAGTTCTGACACTCAACAAAAGCAAGCTTTTGGTGTCCCAAGTGGAGCTGATGCTTTTTCCTTTTAGTGCTCCTACTCTTTCAGTGTCCAGGGGATTTTTCCTGTGTAGGCATTTTATAATATCAGATATATTAAATATGTTAAAAATGATGGGGTTTCGCTGATAAATGTGACTGTGTAGGGTAAGATGTTGAAAGAAATAGTTACACTAATCAAGCATGTTTTATGTCTAGGTATATTCTTTTATAATGGACATCCAATAAGACAGGTGGATGTTGTTGGGGTAGTGGTTCAAAAGAAGGAGAGAGATGCCTTTTATAATTATGGAGGTAAGAAAAGTTTCTTTCTTTCTTCCTGCAGTTATCAGCCTTCTAATCTTAGCTACTGTTAGAACTGAAAGGCTTCCTTATTTGATCATTGTCTTTTCTTGAAACAATTGTGCTCTTATCCTAATACAATGTATATCTGCAGCTCAGATTACTTGGCAAATTTAGGGAAGCTACTGTTCATCTTCACTTCAAAGCAGAGAATCAAATAGTTACAATAGAGTAACTGATTCATTTGGGGTCATGTAGCAAATCCTAATTTTGGTTGTTGCTTTGTCACTGGACTCACTCCACCACTTTCCTCTCATACATATGAAGTTCCTTTGGTGAGGTAAAAATGGATTGAACAGTGCCTGCAAATGGGAAATCACTTCTTCCTCTTTTGAACCTTAGAAATCCCTTCTGACTTGTTGTATGTTTTGTCGTATCTTGGAGGCAGCTTTTAATAGCTTTTTAATAGCAGTCAGGAGCTTGTTTGTGTTTAGATGCACAAGAGTCTTAGCAAATCTAACTCAAGCATCATAGTACCAGTCCTTACCAACACCAGCTGGGACTTGTCTCCTCCCTATTGCTTTTCCCAGTATTCAGACAGTTTTATTAACATGGAAACATCTGATTGTCATTTTGTTCAGCTGTCTTTTTCATCTGGAAAGAAAAGCAGAGTGGAGTAGTGGTGATGTGGCAAGTTTCAAAAGGTAGGGGGAAGTCACTTCTCAGTGGGAAGGGGGAGCCAAATGCACAGATCCTATTGAAGCCCTTGTGCCCAGAGTCTTCCTCTGCCATGGGTTTCCACCTGACGGTGATAAGTCATGGAGTGCCTCTTCTTCCAAATTTCCTTGCTTATAAAATTGAGTCAGCAGCAGTTCCCTGGCACACAGGAGTATTGTGAAGATACAGCTGACAACTTAGCCAGGTCCCAGGTTCCACAACACCTGCAGTTGCATCATACTGCTGCAGAGCAGCATTGGCTGCTAGTGCATACAACATACCCTGCACAGGATACAGCTGCTCAGAGTTGACTCTGTGCTCTCCTTTCAAGCATCTCCGAGTGAATATTTTCTAGATTCTGCCTTTTTAAGTCAAATTTCTGAATGTTTGTTATTACCTCACCGTAATGCTAAATAATAAGTTGTCAGTAAATATTTTGAAGAACAGGATTCTGGCACTTGAAGTGGCACAGGGTAAACAAATGCCTAAGTTAAGAGGTGGAGATGTAATTGATGTAATGAAGTGTTGAAATGTAAACTGAACTTCAGCTATTATTCTTTTATTGCACTAGTATTCAAATACAGTTATCACTTCATAAGAACAGAGGAAGACAGAATCAAAATGACCAAGGCAAAATAATTCTATGGGCAAAGGTTTTCTGTGCTGCCCTCAGCATTTGTTTAACAAGTAATCCTGTTAAAATGTTTGACTGGGGCAGAAAATGGACAAATAGAAATAAAAAGAAACGGCAGAGTGCTGGAATTGAGGCCTTACTGTCAGATCAGCCGACCTTTAAGTGCAGCTCTCAGTGAGCCTGGCTTCCTGCTGTCCTTTCTCATCCAACTCCACGCTTTGTTCCAGCAGTTCCTGGTTTGAGCTTTCAGGCTACCTGCCATGGTGCCCCTCCCCAACCCGCCCTCCCTTTCAGTCAGGCCGACTCCACCAGTGTAAAATTTTAACTTCTTAGACAGTTTCCTGCTTGTAACTTCTTGCATTTCTCAGTTCAAGACTCCGGTTGGTGAGTCATGGATCGGGCGTTGCATCAGTTGGAGTGCCACACACTGCTCAAGGCTTGCTCTCTTTCCATCTGCTTAAAAGTGACTTACAAAGCAGTTCTCCCTTTGTACTTTTTCTCTGATAGGGAACTGAAATGTCTTTGTGTCACTGCCACTATACCCCCTCACCCCCCCGTTTCCTATCTGTCTACTTCAGAATACACACTGCTCACTTTAAAGAATCTTAGGTCCTCTCTGCTGAAAACCAGAACTGGTGATAAAACAATAATTGTAAAAGGGAGTGAACTGACTCTTTCCTGTCTGACACAGCATGTAATTTTTATTTATTTTGACATTCTGATTTGATTGTTTATTGCTATTATTATGATCACCTAGGAGGAGAATATCTAATTAAAATGTAGCTTTGACTAAGCTCATATTTTAGCTAATGCACCTTTCTGACCTCTTTTTTTTCCCCCCTTTCCTTTCTAACAAAATCAAAGATCACATATGGTTTTCCTTATACTCCAGAACCTAATTGAAAGGATAAAAGGCACTTGCCATAGTAACAAATGAAAAAAAATCTTACCAGGATCTCAGTAGGTTCTGGCAGGCCTTAAAAGAGCCATACCCTTTTTGTCATAAAGTAATAAAAATGAATGCAATTATCTCATTTAAAGTAGCTTTGAGAGTACTACCCCTCAAATAGTTAAGTAAGAGTCAAAAAAACCCAAATCCAAACGAACAAGAAATGGGGAAGAGGGGGGGTAAAAAGCAAACTAACAAAAAACCAAATAAACAAAACTTTAAACCCAAAGAGATGAGGAAGGGCGGCACAGGGAGCACAGGAAGTTTTCAAAAGCTTGTAGACCCTTTGAGTGCATCTAAAATAGATTAACATTCCCCTGTCTAATTAGAATACAATTGCAAGAGTTCTCATTCATCTGTGCTTCAGGAGTTGTCTTTTTGCTCAAAGCTTTTACCTATGAATGGGTGAACTTTGTTGCAGAGCCTTGCTCTGCTCCCGGATTCCCTGTGTGGTCACATACAGGTCAATCTCTCCAGGACTTCAGTTTCGGCTGTTAGGCTGAGGAGGAGGAGTGTGGCCTCCTAATCCTTCAGTCTTGTTTGGTTTGTTTCCAGGCCCTTCTTAGGAGGTGTGTTTCAGTTGGTGCAACAGCCAGTCAAGAGCTGGAACATCTAGAAGCTTTAGGAATGTAATAGTGAAATGTCATCTGCCCTGTTTCTCATTGCCATTGCTGGCTTGCGTGGATGGCTTGGCATGGTTTATGTAGGTTCTGACTGCTAAAATAGTTGCTGTCTGTCTATACCGAGGAGAGGAAATCCTACCAGTTAGATTGTTATCTGGGCTCTGGTACAAAGTTAAAGCTGCTGAAATAGTTGCAGACACAGCAGCTCAAAAGGGGAACAGAAAAGATGAGCATACTTTTGCGGTGGAGTTTGGAATTGCCTGCGTCTTATAAATGTTGTATGTTTGCTAATAGAAACGTGCAGCTAAACTACTGGGAAACAGGAAGGCAAGACAATAATTTGAAATTAGACCCCCCTAAATAGGGAGATTGTTTCAAAACACATGAGACAATGCAAAGGCATTTTGCTTTAACACTATGGTTCCTGGAGGAAGTGACTGCAGGTACCAATCAACACCTTCCTGGTAAACACTGCTGTTACTTTTTTAAACATGGATGTGGTTTAAGGAGCAGAAGAAAATTGCAGGTTTCCATTTGTGAAGAGTGGAATCTGAGTATTGGAGATGGTTACATTCAAGAAGCAAGGTTGCTTGGAGCATTGGCTGGATGATCCCTCACAGACATTTGGTGCCTTTCTGTATAGAGAGTGTTTGGTGGACAGGCCATCTATATACAGTCTCTCACTCTGTAGAACAACTGATTCTTCTGATAGTTTTTAGTTTGCTTTGGTTCTTTTTTTTTTTTTTCTGCTGTCATTGACAATGCAGTGCCTGAGGCAGAAATCGTAAAACTTATTTTGATTGGGTACTGGCAAAACAGGAAAAACTAGACAGCTCCCGTGCTCGGGGAGAAGGTGTTGGGCTTTTTCTGCAGCGGAAATGGCATGCATGCCGCCACTACCTATCCTTTAAGTTGGGAATTCCTGGCCTAGAGCAGAACCATGAGTATGTGCTGTCTTCTGTCCTTTCTGGCTAAAGGAGCTGCCTTTCTGCTCCTTGGACATCATCTGGTACAGGAAAGGCCAGCAGACTTTGAACACAACATAAACGTGGAGGCCAATGCAGCAGCACTTCCGGTTTATTCACATGGTTGTATCCCCCACTGGTAGAATGTTGTTTTCTCACTGTAACAGTGATGCTTCTGTGGTTTGTTCCTGGTTTCCTGTTTTAATTTGTCTGACTTTGGCTTTCAACAAGATTCTTCTTCTGACCTTGTCAGTGAGATTAAAACCCTTTAGTAGTCAATATATGTGTTGAAGCCTCATCATTTAAATTAGTGCTTGATCTTTCCTTGAGAGTATTCCTGTTACTTTGGTGACCATGCACATAAACACATCTGGTGCTGAGCTACTTCCATGACTGGAATGACTGTGGAAATTATTTCAGAGGTATAAGTGGGGTTTGGGCACTCACTTTCCCTTTCAAACTGGTTGGACTGAGATTTCCTTGGCAGTTATCTCCCTACACATCTATGTACCTTTACTTCCCAGAACATGTCTACCTGCTTTCCTACTCTGTAATTCTTGATTTTTCTTTTTTTTTTTTTTTTTTTTTTTTTTTTTTTTTTTTTTTTTTTTTTTTTTTTTTTTTTTCAGTGGATGATAGCACTGGAGTTATAAATTGTGTCTGCTGGAAAAATCCCATGGTAGCAGAAACACCTTTATCAGGTAATTTATCAAAGAAGTAATTCCTGTTTTGACCATGCATTTTTACCTACCTATGTCTTACATAATTTTGTAAGTGATCAAACTTGCAGAAGAGCAAATTTGACTATTCAATTTTTTTAATTTATTTTAAACTATCACATCCTATGACCTGGACCACTTCAGGACTTTTGTGTTAGTTTTTGTGTTATGTTCAATGGTGATGCCAATAAAACCATTACATTATGTCCTGCCCTGCCTTTTCCTTATCTGAGTAATATGATATTTAAATTCTATGTGGTGACATTGTTCAAAGAATTTTCTTCTTAGTTCTTTTTGTGACTTCATCTCGTGAGAAACTAGGCTGGAAATGTGCCACAACTTCTGTTTCCGAAGTCAATCCATTGACCTTCACTTGTGATACAGTGGTTTCAGGATTAATCCTCCCTTTGTATTCATATTCTCCTGCTCACACATACATTGTCAGCAATGAACTTGAAAGTAGCTTAAAACACAGTGGGAGGATGCCAGCAGTCTTTTACAATTTGGGAAAGTCCTAAACGTGCAGTAATTGTGCATTTGAAATGAATCTATTATTGCACTCACTAACAGAACTCAATAGTTTCTGAGTTTCTCTTTGCTTTTTCTCTCACTGTTTCTTACAGATCAAAGTATGAAATGCTTTCTATTTTGCATCTTTCTGGAAGCCCATGTAGTGGGTTGACAACCCTAATATGGAGCTGATCAAATCCTACTGAAATAAATGTTACCAGTGTTGTCTGCAGTGTTAGAGATACATATGCATAGAATGAAGAAAGGAAAGCTTCATGTAGAAGTTAAAAACTCTGATGTCTGTGGAACAAGCCCATTTATAAAGACAGATAATTCATACTTTTATTTAACAATGATATGGCAAGTGACACAAACAATCCCAACTGGAATCTAGAAGACACCTCTCACTTTAGAGAGGTTATATTCTGGCACAGCTTTCCAGAAAAAAAAAAGTAAAATAGGGGAGACACAATCACATTTTTTTATGAGGAATGTAAATTCATTAAAAGGAATTGCATTAAATACTGCCTGAAATAGAATGAGAGCCCAGATTGCTTGTTTCAGCTCTGTGTTCTTATTTTACAAGTACATCAGTAGTGTTTGGATGGACGCTATGTTAATAATGGAAACTAATCCATTTGTACCTGCTAAAGAAAGTTCCTAGGTGGCACAGGAAGCTTTCTTCCAACCTTTTGTAATTGTGATTGGGGATCCTTGGATCATTAATCAGGTTTTAAGTTATGAAGGATTTACTGTCCTGCAAAGGTGAGTTACGTAAATATGAAGTTCTGTCAAGTTGCTACACCTCAGTGTAGACATCGAATTGCATCACATGAATGGTTTGGCCCCACCTCAGATGACTCATTTGTCTTTTATATAAAAAATTCAGCAGACTTTTTTTTTCCCCTCTTGTCCTCTTAGCATGACAAAGTCAAAAAATGACGAAGACCACTATTTATTCAATTAATGATGCAATTTTGCAACCCATCTATGACATTTTCAGTGGTAAATCAGTATCTCCTCCCTTCTATACTTTCCCCAGGTGAACTATTTAAATAAATATAGTACTGTAAACTAACTTTGTCACCAGGAAGTTTTACTACCCAGGACACATGGTGCCTGGGACCTTACCCCTTTTTTAGTAATATGGCTCCTGTGATGCGTAGGTGGATGAATGCAAAAGAACAGTCCTCTTGACTTTAATGCCTGATCCCCTTTCCCTCACTGCTTGCAGGTCATCTAAGCACATCCAGCAGTCTTACTGTGTTTGAACAGATGAAGAAACTCCAAGAAATAGTGAGCCAGAAAACCAAGCTGGAGATTGGAGATGTTGTCAGGGTCAGAGGTCACATCCGAACCTACAGGCAACAAAGGGAAATTCAGGCTTCGAGTTTCTGTGAGTGTTATGAACCAGGGATATATGTAACTCACTTATCTGAATCTGTGAAACTATCTAAGCTGTATGCAATTACCTGAATATGTTCCACTTTATTTTCTGGCATCTCATTTTTCTAAAGAGATTTTCTTCTGTAAATCTTTATTTCAGTTTTACCAGTGTAAGATTAGAAGACACACTACTTGATGTGTGGGATTAGATTGCCTGTAAATAAGGCATTCCTGGAAAAACTATAAAAGATGATTAACATGCTTACAAGAATGCTATGCAGATACTGTGGTTGGATATCTGTGAGAGTGACTTGCTCTGTGTTGAAGCAGCCCAGCCAAGCCCATGGGAGAGGGGCTGGTGACCTCTCATGTCCCACTTCATCCAGTTGTGCTTTGGGGAAGTGTCTGCTGCTTGTCGCAGCCTGCACAATCCATTCCGAGGGCAGCAGCAGCACAAGGGCAGTGTTCCACTGAAGCCTGGGTTCTCCTGAACTCCCTGGCTCTGCAGGATGACTCAGTCACCTTCAGTCACCCAGGCACAGATCTGCATGCAGGTGCTGCCTCTGTATCTGACAGCTCTTTGGGCAGCAGGGCTCTGCAGTCCACTGCTTACACCCTGGGAGCTTCCAGTTACATAACTTCTGTGTTCTGCATCTGTGCTCTTGTGTAAGAGTTGGTTTTCCCCAGTGAAATCTTTCAGAGGTAATGCTAGAATTATTTCTTTGGTGGGGAGAAGCCTGTCTTTTAAAAACCCTTGTAAATTGGATAAAAAGTCTAGATTTTTCAGCTCTAGCTAAAATTTGTGAGGGAATTCAATCCTCTTTTCCAGACAGAAGATTTATGAATATATACAACCCACTCAGGGGCTGGTAATAATACCAGAGAGAGCCATGCAATCAAATAGTCTCTAAATTGCTTTCACTTTGGCCCAAATAAAGCTCCTTACTATGTGTTAACTTCATTTAATGGATGAAGACTGTTGAAAGGTAAAACAGAGATCATAAATTCTGGTTAAATAAGTTGTCAGACAAAAGCATGATCTGCAATGCACCACAACAGACCATTTACCTCCTAGTAAACTGTAAAAGAAGGAGTGGCCTTTGTGATTTTGTTTTTGTAAAAACAATAGTGAACAACATTTGCCAATTTAATACTGGCTGTGAAGCTCTGTTGTGCTGCCTCAGGTTTGCTTGCTTAAAAAAATTGATGGAGCAGTCCTGGCCAAGTCTGTGTGTTCTTTTTGCTCCTCCAGATAAAGTTGATGATCCTTTGTATGAGGTTCAGATTTCAAGAATGCTGGAGCTCCCCTGTCTCTATAGAGAAGTTTATGATAAACCTTTCCAAGGCCCTGAGGAAGGACAGAGGTAAATGTGGTATCCAGGCTGGTCTTGGAGTAAAGTGTGGGATTTTATGATTGTTTATTCGTTGTTGTAATAACTGTGGAAAAAAAATAGAACAGGGCCCAACTCTGATTTAGACTCTGCATAAACATACAGTAGCAGCCTGCTCTTCTCCCAAATGATTGCTTGTCATCCTCAAATCCCAAATACATGACCTCAATAAACTGAATCAAACACCCATTTCTGTACCCAGTTTAAGGGTAGCTGAATGCTTGTTGGGAGGTCTGATGCCTGTAGTGTGGTTTCAGAGACTGCAGATCTTAAAATTACAAAACTGTTACAGCAAATGATTGAAGAGGAACAATTGAATGTTTATGCATATAAAAATGTTCTGATTTAATTAAGAGTTTAAAATAAAGTTCTTTAAGAACAATAAAATATCTTTTGACCTTTGAAACCAGTCTAGTGGGCTGACTCTAGGTAATTGTTCTAAAACCCATTTCTTGCCTTTTGACTTGTTCTCTGTACCTTTGTAGTGGCCTTGAGGGTCAGAATCTCTCAATCCATATGCTGCATGAGAAAGTGCAAAGCTTTCTATTAGAAAACAAAATTCAGACCTTTTACCAGCAGGAGCTGGAAACAATTGATACTCTGGTGTCACTGGCAGATGTGCATCTACCCAGTCCCAGCTGTCAGGAGGTGAGTGAATGTACCTGTCCGAAGTTTTGGGTGAGGGGAAATAATACCATGTCCATTTTTTTAAGCATAAACAAATAGTTAAGAGACTGGTGTCTTCAGAGGATTCAAAAACCACAAGTGCTTTAGCTTTATGCATGAATTATTTACAGAGCTTGAGGAAATCTTGTCACTGTAGAGGTATAAAACTGGGCTGAACAAAGCCATGTAAGGACATTCAGTTATTAGGGGTAATCTTGTGTTGGGGCTGAGCAACCCTACAGGCTGCAACAGGCACTACCTAATTTAGATTTGTAAATAGTGCCAGTGCCAGAAAAGGAGATGACTTTAAGGTCCTTGAGCTGTTTGGGACAGGTGCTTGAAATCCTGAATTTGATCAGGAGAGAAGGGAGCACAAAGCCTTTGTCTTGTTTCTCATTTGAAACTCAATATATTAATAGAGATGGAGCTTTCTAAAGGAGATTATGATGAGTGGATGAACAGTGCTCACTGCTGTAGTTTCTCATGTGGAAATCCTGAGTTGTGAAAGGTTATGATTGAAAGCATCAGAAGATGGGATTAAAGGGAAATCAGTTTTTATTTAAGCCACTTTTTGTTTGTTTTGAAGCAAACATGGATATTAACACTAGCAGGAGCTATTCTAATTTTGACAGAAAAGTATGATACTACAATATCCAACATGGGACAGGGTACTTCCTAAACTAGCTGGAAGAGAATTAAAAGTTCCCAAACACTTTACATTAAAGGAAGTAGCGGTCATTGTGACCAATACTGGAAAATTCCATCTTAGAAGTGTCAGCATTTACAGAAAGATCAAGATAAATAACTTGCAAAGCCATTTAAAGTAGGGACTGGTGCAGAACAAACATAGAAAGGCTCAGAAAAAAACCCAAAAACCCAAACCAAACAAAATCCCAACCAACTAAAAACACCCCACCAGAAAACCCAAACCAAGAAAAGCAATATAGCATCAGTGTTGTTAGCAGTCATGAAGAGCTATCAAAATAATTAATAGTTATTCCTGACCCTGATGCAAGGGTGTGAGTGTATGTCCCGGGAATTTGGGCACACAGATGCTTATTTAGAAATTGCAGTTCTCTCTGTTGCCCTTTGGTATTAATTTCTTGCAAAGAGTCTTATCTGTCTTTGCATAAGAAAGGGGTGCAGTTGTCAAGTGGCCTTAAGAGGAGTGCCTAGAAATGCTCTGGAAATGCATTTTGTTCTTCCTTTACTCTGTCTCTGGAAAGTGTCACTTCTTGTAATTGGCAAAGGGTCAAGTACCCAGTTCAATCCATGGATACAAGTGTAATAGATCTGATTCTCCTGTCCCTCTTCCTTTCTTTTCCCTTCTATAGTGTTTTGTTTGGTACTGCTCTCAAACCAAAAGGATAAATGGTGTTGCTGATGTGGAACAGTGATATTTCATGCCTAATTGGCAAGGCAGGAGCTAGATGAGTGGACCAAACTAATCAGGCCACACCACAATATGCAACTTGTTCACTTCTTGCACTTTACCTGGATGTGAAAGGATGAGTTATTTGGATGTCTAACTTTAATATTTTTTTACCCCAATTCCAGTGTTCTAGAGCACAGTTACTCCTAAACGATTTGTTGCTGTTCTCTTCCTTTCCTTGTGATCCTAGTAGATGTGGTGCAGCCCCTTCATCTCTTTGCCAGCTTTTAAAGTACTTGCCCAGTGTTCATCGTAGTGGGAGGGTATCTCCCCATGGAATATTTTCTCTGGGGAGGTGGTGAGCTGCTGTGGAGTCACCCGCAGCAGAGTGGAGCAGGGAGCGAAGATGGAAGGAGGTAGCTGGGATAGCTTGAGGTAGGCAGCATCTCTCTGTTCCTTGTCAGCATTACTGTGTCTGAGCCCTGTCCACATCCATACATGTCCTGCAATACCTACTTCCAGTCTTAATGGCTCCCCACCAGTGCAGTCTTCTGGCTCTCCAGAATAAATTTCCCTCTAAGAGGTGCACATGGCAGAACTCAGACCATGTCCCTTTCTCAGACAGATACTAGGGAAAATTTAATTTTATAGTCTACAGTGGTTGGGTAAGAGAATTGAAAGGCCTAGTGTTTTTAAAAATGGTTAAAAATTAACAAATCTGTTACAATCTTTAAAGCCAGTGGAGCTTTATTTTGCATAACTAGTGCCCTGTCTATCCCTAAGCTGTAGCCTTTTCCTTAACCCTTAAAACAAATGACTTTTGAGACTGGAGGGGTGGGTACCAGAAGGAAGACTACAAGCAAAACCAGAAAAAGAAATTTAGGGCTTAGAGAACCTCCAGAGTGTACTTGCTGGACTTAGACAATTATGTTTGGCAAATGGACAAGCCTTTGGTTCCTTTCTTGAAGAAAACTTTTTGTGAACTGGACCCATCCAGTTTCTCAACTGAGTTAAATATTTGCAACCAGCCAGTCTTGATTAGCCGTTTTTGTACACTTCTTTCGTGCATAAGCTACAGCATGTGCTGTTTTGGTGTTACCATCCCAGTTTGAGTATGGCACTTGGGTTGTGCTTTCCAGACTGTGCTGTTTGCACTTCTCTTGATTTGAATATTATCTCCAGGTCAGCAATGCCAAGTAGTTAAAGCAGGGAGTTGAACAGTGTTGTTCACACTTCCTGTATATACCCTTTACATTGTAGGTGTAACACAATGCATTATATATTCTTGATGCTGTGTGCTTGTCTTCCTGCCTCTTGAGGAGGCTTCACTGCTGCTTTAAATATGTATATTGCAAAGCTTATTATAGGACTTCAGGACTGACATGTCCAGAATCACTATTACTAAAATTGTCACCTGCCTAAGCCAAGGATTAAACACAGCATGACAAATTGCAAAGGGCGATTCCAGGAGCAGAATCACGTGTGTGGTTATACCAGGAAACTTTTAACACCATCAGGGTGTGTTGTGATTCATTATGAGTCAAAGGTTACATACTTTCAGTGTTTTGAACAGACTGACTAATTCCTGTACCACTTCATTTCTTTGACCTACTATTGATTGTACAGAGAGTTTGTCTTGTTTTAAAGATCTGAGAATAACTGGTTGCACAGCACCAGCCCACTAAGCTGTGTGAGATCCATCCAGTGGAATATATTGATTAAAATACTAACTTAATTCTGGAGACTTAAATTCTCCTGTTGGCTTTGCTTCAGAGTTCTTGGCTGGTCTTGGAGTGAGAGTTAAATAATTATTTAATAGCTGCTTCTATCTCAAGACACACACACACCCCCCACGTGTTTTGTAGAAGTGATGAGTTTTGAACAGTCCTGTGTTTGGATGTGCAGCGTAATTTATTTGAAGAGGACCTGATTTGGGAGGGGAGGGGAAGCTGTTGGTACTTCAGAGAACCTGAAATGGTGCACCAGGAAATCTAAGGCATGCCCAGTGGGAGCACTTTGCAAAATAAGGTGTGAACATTGTGAGAGGTACATTCAAAATTCAGATTCAAATCTTACTGGTGCTTTGGCTTGGCAGTTAAACTACCTAATATCTGCATTTCTGAGATGAAAGCTTTGTAAAAGTAAAGGGATGGCTAATAGGCTGTGACTCAGAAGGAATTGTGTTAATAAGTAGGGATGTGAAATCACTTAGGATTTCATAGTTCTAAATTCCTTGTCTCTGTGTATAGCCTCATGTTCAGTTTCCTGCAGATGTCTGCTCAGTAGACTGAATCACAAACTGGAGTGCACAGTGGCTCTGAGTGTGACCCAAGTTCAGAGGAAATGAGGGCTCAGTTTAGTGATAAGAGGGATGGAGAGGAGGAAGCATATTCTAGAGCACATTAGGAAAAAAATTCCAAATTTTTCCTGTCATTTTATGGTAACGTTAAAGCCCAATAATATATAATATTATTATATTAATATATAATATGATAATACTAAAGTGGGCAGGAGCCCTCATTTGTTTTTCAGGAACAGTCCTTCTGCCATGAGGCCCTTTCCGTGGACTCTGCAGCACATATGAGAGGGTGCTGATATGTAGCAGCTGCTTACTTATTATAAGGCCTCGCTGCCTTCACTCTGTCATTGCCTTGACTTGCATTCTTAGTGATTCTGTTTCAGTATCCATCCAGGCTGAGCTGTGTGTCAGTTCACACAGAGTCTGTTTTTAATTATCTCCGTTTTCTGACAGGATCTCAGTGTTAAGCCAAACTGAATAATTATTGTGCTTCTTTGGAGATATTTTTATCTTTTTTTTCTCCCCAAATGTTTGCTTTCGCATTAAAAATTGATCAGAGTCTTGAGTTGGTTGCTTTGCTAGCAATTTCTTACATTCTTGAGGATTTATTACTGCATTTGAATGAGAAGCAAAGTCTCTTCATTTTACATAGGGCTACAAGAATGTGCTTTTCCATGAGAAAATGTTCACTCTTCACCTAATCCTTCCTGCTACATTTTATGTTTGTTTCTTCAGTTCATCAGAAGAGGGACTATGAAGAGAAATATGGTAGTGGTATTAATGCTGTGACTGGAATGGTGTCCAGATGCATGGTCAAGTTTTTACTTAGAAGTGGAGCCTGTTGGTACCCAGACTGATAGGTGTGGTGGACAGCAGGACAGATGAAGTCCTTCAGTCTGAAACAGAGAAAACCAAACGGACAATATTAGCCATTGTGCTATGTTAATTATCTTGAACTATAAGGCAATTAGATTTTACTGTTGATTTGAGAGGAAAAAGAGTTGGCAGTTGTGGGACAGAGAGTGAGATGTGATTATGGCCTGCTGAAATACTGAGGATTAGCTGGAGGAAGGGGATGGAGAAACTCGTGATGCATGTGATGCACCAATATCCCTCTTGGATCTCTGAACTATTCCCAATCAGGTACATCAGCCTCTGGGTTTAGAGGCAGTTGGAGTGTTACTTGAGAACTGCAAATGCATTGAATGAATGTTTTGTGAAAAGATGTTTTTCTGTTGCTCATGTGGTATCCGTTTCGCATATTCGTGTGAATTCATTCTAGTGGTGGTGGTTGCCTGCTTTGCTCCCAAGGCTTCTGTGAGTGCTTCTGGTGAGTGAAGTAGGATATGTGAAATCTGATTCTTTTGTTCAGAACAGGGTGGGAGCATTTACAGTGATAGTTGGAGAAATGGCTTGGCAAATCTTGCTTTGGTTGCTGTGGTGTGGTTCTAGTTATCTCACGTTGGCTTGTGGGAAGCAGTTTAACTCTCTTCTCAAAGAAAACCACAGAGAGCTCACAGCGTGCTCCCAGCAGATGACAAAGCAATAATTGGGGAACTGAAGCAGCCTGTGCAGATAAATGGGAGGCTGAAGGACAGAGCAGGACAGATGGAGATGGAGAGGAGTAAATCATCTACCCATACTTTTCCCTCTCCACAATTGATTATTTTCTTCTACTTCCTTAGCTGTCATTCCAGTGTCATAGCTCTGCCCTACTTTCAAACAAACCCTGCTTTTCCCTGTGTTTTTTTTTTCCCTCTGCTTACTTCCTACTCTGTTAGATGTGTCCCAAACACAGAACCCTGTGTTCTCAATAACCTCCTCAGTTATGGACTTCCAAGCACATTGTAACGAGCTCATTTCCCACCTCTCCTCAAAACTTGAATCCTTTCTTCCCTTATCGCATATACCTGTCTTAATTTCTTCCATGCTCTTTATCATTTCATTTCATTAAGCTGTGGAGAAGCTACTGAGATCACGACCAGAATGTTTGTAAAAATTTGGAAACAAAGGGGACAAGAAACAAATACTGTTTTTTTTTCAGTTTTCTCCCTTCCTTGATTGAAATCAGAGATGGGAATCCAGTCCTCTGCACTTGGATTCCTCCTGAATATCACCTTACAAAACACTGATCTTCCTACCTTCCTATCCTTATTACAAGGAAAACTCTGAATGTGAAAAAAGCTTGATTAGCTAAATAGTCAAATGCTCTGCAAGCATCACAAGCCTGTTCCAAAACAAAGTTCTTGGTACATAATTAAATAGCTGCTAAATACAAAGAATGCAGTTTAGAGGCTGTGGTTCTTTAAAAATGGGATGAGCTTCTGGTGTTTCGGTTTTGTTTAAAGCTCATGGATACTGGTTAGTTCATACACAACAGATGTGATTTGTGAATTACTAAATGAAGAAAAATATGTAACAAATTCACATTAAAGAGGACCTGAACTCCTCTTTCTCTTGAAAGCATCTGGACCTTTTGCTGGTAACTTTAGTTGAGCTGAGATCTCTCACCATCTGCTTCATTTTTTTCTTCCCATCCAGGTGAAGCCAAAAGGGAACTCCAGTTCCAAAAGGATTCACAATTTTTTTAAGGAAGCAATAAAGATGCTACAAGAAAAAGGAGTGGTTTTTCAGAAACCTGGTAGCTCCAAGGACTTATACCATGTAAGGCACTGAGCTGTGGTTGTAAACAAGTTCAGGGGGATGACTTTCACAGTCAGTAGAAACAGTAGAAATATCCAGAAAAAGTAGAAATGTTTTCAGAAAGAGATGCTGGACATCCAAGTGCTCTCCATTTACTCAGAAATCTTATCTGCAGCACAGCTGGTTTTACCTTTGTGTAACCCACTGAATTGTTGTTCCACATTCTGTGTTCACGGGTTACCAAACTGCGCTGACGCAGCTGAGCTCACTGAAACCTGGGACAGTTCTTATTGAAGTGTGTTAAAGCTTGGTGTTCTGCTGAGTCAGCCAGCCTCCTTTGGGTTGAATTCTCTTGTATCTTGTATTCTTCACCTAACTTATGGATGCTGCTAATAGTAGTCAAATAGTAACTGAAGATTTGATGTTTATTATTAGTCTTGTAGGCATTGTGTGATACAGACTGTAGTTATGACAGTGTTAGCTTAGAATACATCATGTCCTCGGATTGCTTCTCAACAGCCAGGCCATGTACTGTGAAAGAGACTGCTATAAATAACCAATATCTTCTTTTTTCTGCAGGTGACTGACCATGATAAGGAACTGCTTAAAGTGACCCTTGGTGTGATTAAAGAAGACTGTAGAAAACCCAGGCGTAAGTATCAGAGTGATCAGGGCTCTGAGGAGCTAGTACTGATGTACTGATGACAGTATCTCCTCCTGCTGCTGGATTAGATATGCTGTTTGTCCTTACCTCTGGACTTGGAGCTGTTGCTGGTGTAGACCATCAGTATAGCTGAAAGCAGGAGCTGGAAGCAGCAGCTCCCTGTGAGCGTGGAGAGAGGAAGAGCTGATATGCCCATCAGGAAGCAATCCTCTCAGATCTGAAATAAGCAGCCTTTATCTTAGATCTGTATCTTTAGAGAATACTTAGATTTTGGGAGGAACCAAAGTTAGGTCACCACTTAGCAGCTGTTGCGTTGCACTCTGCAGAAGTAGCAAATCTTGCTGGTTCAGTTTCTTCAGGGGAGTTGACACAAAAGTGACCATGCAGAAAGGTGAAGTCCCCGCCTCCATTAAGTCAACAATAAAACTTGCTTAAGTCAGTATTATATTCTCTGTAGATGTTGAGCTCAGATAGAGCTCAGATGGTTGTTCTTTGCACGTAGGGATTTCAGTCAAACAAAGTGCACTTATTTTCAGATAATGTACCTTGAGTGGCTTCTGAGTTATCCCTGTCCTTCAAGCCTATTGTGTCTTATTGCCATAGTGATAACTTGTGCTTGACTGGAATGTGTGCTAATTACACAGGTACTTGCTACAGAGTGTCTTTCCATTTATTCGGCCCAATGTGTCAGCAGGGATCACTTGCTGCTGGAGTGCAGCTATTTGTGGGATAGAATGTGCTTTAGTACAGAATAATGACTGAGTAGAACATAAGGCATATAATCTTAAATTGCTCATATCCTTATACTAACATAATAGCGCTTGTAGGACCTGGTATATGGTGCTTATCCTGCAGTGAGGAAAGGCTAAGTGAAGCAGTATTATGTTGGAGTTTTCAACTGTCTATCTTAAAAAATGGTACAATTGTAGACAAGGTTTGGGGTGGAGATGAAAATTCTTTGTATCTTAGGGGGATGGAGGGAGTTGAGGTTACTGGGCATGCAGGTTTAGATGGGCTCATTTACTTAGGCTGTTGCAATGCAACAAATTGCCATATAACATTGTTTTATTATCTTTTATCCAATTAACAAATACAAACATCATTAAGAGTCAAATAATTCCTCTGCCCATTTTATACATCATCTAGTTCTGATAATCTGTTTTTTGTTTTTGTTTTTTTTTTTAATATCTCTGTGGCACTGTCAAGGCCAGAACCTGTATACAGTTGGCACAGGGTACTGGGTGCTCTCCTCTTGTGCATTGTCACACTGGTAAAGTACTCAGTGATCCATGAGACCTTGGGAAGTTCTTTCAGTCAGGAGGAGTCAACAGCAGAGAGGAATTTGTAGATCAGTCACAGAAAAGACTTTGAAGAGTCCTGAGTCCTCAAAGCCATGTTTTCCATACTAAGCAGGTTAAAATTAGCAACTGCTTAACAGAGCCTCTTGTTCTCCTTGAAGTTTTCCCCCTACTTAATTTCCTGCTGTAAAGAGGACAATTTCCAGGTCAGTGTCCCTTTGCTGGTTTTCAGAAGGACTCTTTCAGTGACCTGGTCACTAGTGATAGAAGAAAAGTCAAGAAGTTTCAGTCGAAACCAACAAGGCACTGGTGTTGGCTGGTATTTGTTGTCTCTGAATGATGCAAGAGCGTGGAGCTCAGTGCGGCTGCCGGCCTCCCTCTGGTGGCAGAAGGGCAATCCCAGCTGGGCTTCCAGGGAGAAAATAAGGGCACGGGCATATACCTCACAGGCTTTTGCTTGTTTGTTGTGAGAAGTTCCTACCCGTTTTCCTTCAAGAGTAGTAGTAATCTTCCATGACAAGAAGATTGATTTATGATAAACCAAACTCTTCTTTCCAGTGAGTAACTCCTCTGCCAGTTTTCCAGGCAACGCCTCACTCCATTGCTTTAGTTGTGACACGTTCTCAGGCCCAACCCAGCTGTCTGGAACTACTGTACAAATAAAAAAAAAATATCTTAAGTGTGCCTACTGAGAGCTCCACAAACCCTGATCCATACTGTGCCTACATGATAATCCTAGTTCTTGGCTCCACTTATAATTCCACACAGCCTGATCTTAAGTGCACTCAACATGAGGCCACTGTGGGTCCATCTAGAACCTTAAGACAGCCAGACAGCAGACAGTGCATTTTGACTCCAGACTGAACTGCAAAATGGATTTTTATTATTTTTTTTAACCTAAATTTGTCCTGGTTTTAGGTTTAGATCAGGCTGATAGTAGAGAGGACAAAAAACCAGAACCACTTGAAGTTAAATTTAATATGTCAGAATGTACCCTGTGTGAGATGTCCACAGTGGGCAAATGGCAGTTGTTCTGTAACTCTGTCCCCTCTGATGTTGGTTGCCGAGCACAACAGTTAATGGCAGCCTGGCTTACCTCAGCTGCTGGACAAAAGTTGGAACCTGAGATGTCAGTGAAAGAAGGACAGCGTGACTCCACTGCGAGGAGTGCCTTCCCTCAAAGCTGGGCTGCAGACTAGGAGTGTTTCTGAGTTACTTGATGACTGTACACACCTGCAGCTACCCCAAAGTGCCATCTAGGAGGAAAGTATGTATTGCACTGTTGGGTAACACTTGAGTCACTAATTAATTCAATGAAACTGAAGTTACTGTAGAGCAGGGATGGGCACTTCGACCTCCTTATGACAAACCGATGGCAAATGTAAAACGCGGTTACCCGCCTTGTTTGCAACAACCATCACCGTGACCAGCTAGAGGCATTGTTCTGTTCCCCGCAATTACCTCTCCTAGGGTGGTGGACACATTTTGGCTGCCAGCCACAAAGGCCTTTTATCATGCTGGATCACTGACTTCTAGAGAAGTATTTCTGCCTAATCCACAGTCTAATAGGAATTAGGCTGAACTATTATTTACCATTTATTTACTATCTACGAGTGACTTTTTTCAGCAGGTTGTAAGGCAGTTCTGGGGCTCAGCAGATTCTAGAGTAGAGAATAACAAAAAAGGAAAACAAAAGCAGCAACAACAAAATATAGGGGCCTCCCTGGCCCATAGAAATTTCTCAGTACCCTTATCAAACTTGCCTTGCATCACGTGAGCTGAGGGCTGAGGAAGAGGAAAATAATTTGTGCTGATGTGTCTCATTTATGCTTATTTTTCATTGTTAGCCACCGAAGAAAAATGTGTTGTGGAGTTCAGCACTTGGAGAGACTGGGAGCCTGCAGCACAGATGATTACTGTGTTACAGGGTCTGTGGGAGGAAATGTTGACTGCAACAGCTTCAAATGACAGCTTCAGATCACAGCTCCACCTGGTACACAGTAGCTGTGTGCAGCCATTGGGGACCTCTGTGCTTGCCCCCTAGGAAAGGGGGTTATTTTAAAACTTCTAGTCTCTTGCACATTTCAGGGCTAATTCCTCTTAAAAGGAGATAAAATTTGATACTAAAGGTCTGAGACTTTCTACTCCCGTAATCGTCTGAGTAGTCTGAAGGGGCAGGGACGGATCGCACTGAGGTGAATGGAAGCTGCACTGCAGCAGTTCTTCCACAAGATGCCAGCGTTGGGCAAGCGGTTACAGGTCCTGGCCACGTACCTCCCACCTCCCTGCTGTGCTGGAGGGTTTTGAAGTTGGGTATGAACAAAATGATTCTCTTTTTTTGGGTCCTTCTAAAGCTGCAGAAACTGGATAGCTTAGTACTCTTTATGTTATTGACCTCATTGTCAAATCTACTGAATGACTTGTAGGTTACAGTTGACAAGACTGAGACTTTCACCCTCATTACTAACTACTGCTGCAGCCCTGACACTTCCCCGTAAAGTCAGTGGAGACAGCTGATAATTGGAGAGCTGTAGGCACAGACTGGGTCTCTTCCTTCTGAAGAAACACACCTCTGCTTTAGTATCTAGGGTGTTCTTTTTTTCCAGCAGCTGTGGGTTTTTTCATGACTGATCTGGATTATAATAGTTCAAAAGAGGCAGACCGAAGTCTTTCCTCCATGCCTGGCTGAATTTTCCCTTTTTTTCCTGCAGATGCTGACAAAGGCTGCCATTTCCTTCATGTCCTAAATTGTGTTCGGCAGAGCTACAACCCCTCCCTGGCTGAAGTGGTGATGCACCGTGTCTTGGAACTGCTGGAGAGTAACAGTGATGTTGTCAGCACTATGGAAGGATATTATATGGCATTTTGAAGAGAAAAGACAAATACATTCATTCTAGTCCATTCAGGAGGGGAGAAGAAGGAGATGTTGAGTGACTCTGAAAAGCTTTATTAGCTGATATGATCTCGATAGGGGATAAAAAAGAGCCTTCTGATTCTCCAAATGCTGGTTTTGTCCAGCTTCAGAGAAGTTGTTTAAATACTTGTTATTTCTTGTGACTTCCTTGCTATTCCTAGTGAGAGTTGTATCAGACTGATTCTGGACATTCTAATACAGCAGGGGAGCTGGAAAAGAAACTGGGCTCTTTCCTTGGAGTAAGATGAGACATTGGCCATCCTCATGTTTACATCCAGTGGGCTGTAAAGAAAAGTCACTGATAAAGAGCACTGTTTACAGCATGTCAGGACTCATTTTTCTGGCTTAAAGACTGAGCTTGTGAGCTTTCATTTGGTAATAGCTGGGGATCTTTCTTTTTATGTAGACTTTATAACAGCTAGAGAAAGGACACACAAAAAAAGATTTGCCTGATCTTCCTGGCAGTGCCAGTGTACCTTTGTCTGTAACTACATATTCTTCAGTCTGGACAGCTTCCCAACTACTAAAGCAGTCCCCACCTTTCTCTGGTAAGTAATATTCAGGAAGGGGGTCCTGCATCCCTTGCCCATCCTGCAGCCTTGCCCACTGGTTGTCAAGCATGCCTGCATTCCCCTGGCTACCATGTGTGCTGCTGATGCCTGCTGTTGTGGATTTTGTTCAGACCAGAAGTCTCAAAATCAGCCACCATTTTGCCCTTTATTTTTTTTTCAAGTTGCTCCCTACATCACAAATGGTAAAACTACATGCTTTGGAAAAGAAAAAAACTACATGCTTTGGAAAAGAAAATACAAAAGCCATCAAGACCCATTCTAATCTCCATGCTGCCTGTTGCCTTTTCTCTTTTATTCTTTGTCACCTTTGGGGTTAAATGCTACCCATATCTGTGCTTGCTGAGGAACACAAGACACAGACCTAAATGCTGGCCTAAAGAAGGTTACCATGCAAGATGTTTGACCTGGAATAATGACAACTCTGTTATGTGAAACAGTTCAAAAACCGGAGCTGTTCTGTATTTTTCCTTGGAGAGGGCTTGCTGCTGCAGGGGCTTGTCTGTTCAATTAATCTGTTTAATTAATGGTGTAGAAGTAAGACCTTTAGCTTGAAAAGAGAAGATTAAATGTATCCTTTTTTCTTCTGCACCTTCCCTGTAACAGTTGAAATAGCAGACTCCCAGGAGGCAGATGTAGTGGTAAAGCCCTATAAGGATTGACATAGCTGGGAAAAATAAACCATATGCATGAGGAAAGCCAGTGAGGAGCCCCATGTGTGCCAGGTCTCTGGTTTGTTATATTATATGCCTCATTCCAAGCCCTGGCTGTAGTGAGATATAGGCTAAGAGAAAGGCATGACAAAATATTTGGCATTAGCATTCAGAGGCCTGTGGAAAACTCTGGCCTTAAAGAGATGGTAAGTTTGTTCATAGTAGAAAACTATGTATGAATCATTCATCTGCTGTAAGTTCCCTACTTGGTGCAGGGCTCAATAGCTGGTTTCCCTGCAGGCTGCCCTGCTCCTCACGTTGCTGCTCTGAGTTGGGTACCTTCTAGTCAGATCTTAATATGGGCCCTGAAGAGGTCCTGAAGGGATACAGCTATGCAGGAGGAAATAGAAGAGGGTTAAGGAAGAATTGTAGAGTGTTTGTTCCCACCCTCTACCCCATAAATATCTCTGTAAATCAGGAAAAGAAGGCAGATTCTGAGTGCACTGATATTGAAATTGCAAGTTTAATTTATGCCTCTGAGAAGGTCTGGTTGGCCACTGGGGAGATTTGCTTTTTAAATTCCTGCTCTGATTACTGATGAGTTTGAAGTGATGCTTAAAACCAAAGGCTATCTCTGGAAGAAGTAGCTTGGAATATTAATACCTAAATTCAAATTCACTTCAGGGGTTTTCCATAATCAAGCACTACATATGGATAAGTTGCCTATTAGGCATGAGCTTGAGGATATTTTTAAGGAAAGTACATAGTGTTTTGGACCATGTGAAAGAGCATGACATCTAATTTAAGAGAGTGGCTTGGCCATTTTCTTGAAAAGTTCTGCATTAGCAGAAGCTCCTTTTGCTGGGAAAGGGTTAAAGAAATGCTTCTTGCTCAGTAGGAAAGGTGATCTTCTCTCTTACTAGACGAAAGACCCTGGTTCTCCTGGGGGTGTCAGCCAAGTGTGCGGGCTGGATGAGTTTTGGGAGGAAAAGAAAGTTTGGAGATCATGTTGCTCTTTAGGATCCCTTTAAAATGAATTCATACCAAAATAGGATTACATCTGTGCATTTTGCAGTTTGTATAGTCACACATGCAACTTCTGTTGGCTCTGGCTTCGAGGCTGCACTTTCTGTGTTTAGAGGTGTTTCTTTGTGTAAAGTTTGCCTAAAATCCCTGTCCACTGATTTTCTATGCTTGGAGGTAGAGAGAGCAGACACTTGTGTCTGCATCTGTCCTGCCCCTATTGCAATTTAAAAGCACTGATCAACTGCAAACCCTTGGAGATGAGGTGAGAGGAACTTGTCTCAGGAAAAACAGACAGGTTACTCTGGATAGAACCTGTCCTTGGAAGTTTTTAAGTTGATCCTTGCTGGCAGTGCTCTACTCTTGTGATGGAGGGAGTGTTCTGTTGGAGGTTGCTCCCCAAGAACAGGAAAAAGGGATTTTTCTCACTCGAGTTGACTCAGGAAAGTAAAATGAATGAACACAGGGGAGCCTACAGTTTTTACAAGAGTGAAAGGTTGAGGCAAAGGTAATGGAGGAGCCTAAACTTGAGCTACGCAGATTCTAATTCTGAATAACTGTACGGAATGGTTGCGTTTTAAGCTTGCATGCTTTACTTTTTAGCCACCCAACACAGACTCACACTTACTCTGGTTGAGAGCATTCCCTCTCATACCCACAGGGAATACCACATGCATATTCCTGTACAGGGGTACCCCAGTGAGCTGTGGGAGCACAGAGCTCACTGTAGCCTGATTTACCCATTCACTCAGTATCTCTACAGTGTGCTTCTGTGACAGCAGTCTAGACATACCCATATTGGTATAAGTCACCTTTATGTAAGTCTAACTACACACACTAGGGCTTTTACTGCTAATAAACTGTCTCTCTGTTTCAAGATCATATCCTTAACCAAGAGAGTCATATCATGCACACTGTTAAAATTCTTAGACCACACCTACAAAATATTGTGCAGAACATTCAGTGAAAGCACGCTTTCTTCTTTTGTTTAATTGGAAAACTCGTTAAGCAACACAATTATTAGTGGTTTATTAAAGAACTTTGAAGGTGGCACTTTAATGTAAAACTGACAAGTGAGAATTCATGTTGTAGGACTGCTTCATGACCAGTTCCAGTTTCCATAGAAACAGTCACAGCAGTAAAAGGCAGGTAAGTAAAATGGAGTTTTTAAGAACAGTCGGCATTTTTATGTTACCTTAAAAAGATAAGTTTCTAAAGAAATGCAGCACCTGGGAATAAAAATTACCAAAGAATCTCAGTATTCTATTCTAGCAAAATGCAAGGTAATTGCTTTGCTGGTGAGAAAACAAAGGAACAGCTCTACCTTCAGTCCCCACCCTCTGCTTAGGTGAGAGAAAAGATGAGGTTGCTTCATGCCTCTATTTCCCTCTTTTTGTAAGTTGGGGATAATACAGCTTCCTGTGAAGGGTATAAGCCTCAATTTTTCTTAATCCTAGTCATTAAAAGAACTCTGTGGCTGTGTGGGAGAGAGTGAATGGATAGATGCTGGAACGAGACTTAGAAAAAGTAGCTCTTGGATTAGAACTAATAGCTCTATATTTTTTTGCCTCTCTTTCCATGCCTTTTGGTTTGACTGTCTTGTCATCTTGCTCTCCAGGTCATATGAGGCAGTGATGGTCTCCCTATTTTTATTTGTGTCATATTTCCCATGGAATCCTATTCCCTGCTATGACTTCTTAGATGACTTCATAAAAACAGAAATCCAGATAAATTAGTTCTTAGTATTCTTGTTTTCAGATCTTTGGATTGTAAATTTATACCCATGAGGGTATGCATTTTACACAAGCTACCTGGGAAATGAAGCTTTACTTTCAGAGTAATAAATGAAAAAGTTAAAAATTGGCTACATGACTAAAAGCTGTTACAGTTGTGGATCTGTGCATACTTGTGTATTCCAGTGATGAACAGCATAAATAGAAAGAGTTGCTAATTCATTATTCAGAATGAGAATTCATCAACGAGCAGCCAGCGAGGCATGGAACCACATGGAGAATTATGAGGCAAAGTACTGAAAATCTGCTCGTCAAAGAAATGCAGTTTGGAGTAAGCTGATCCTATGGGGAAAAGATGTGCCTAGCAAAGATTTGTATCTTTATACTTACCTCTGAATGGGAAGGGAGCGAGTTCAGATCCCATGGGCAACCTGAATTTTGAAACTTCCTGTCAGTGCGACGCTTCATTCTTTCTTGCCATCTTTCAGCGCAGGCCCCAGTCCTGCTGCCCCAACCCTCTAGGCTAGTGAGCGAACAAAAGTTCAGCCACAAAGATAAAAGAATAGTTATAATAATTGATTACCGTCCTCAAGGAGCCCCAGCATTACAACAACATTTTTGTGGATGCATGTTGGCAGCAGGGAAATCCTGAGCCAGGGATCTTGAGTTTCATTCCCAGCAATCTGCCTTGCCAGGCACAGAGGCTTTCCCCCCAATTTCTTTCATCTATTTCTACCCTCCACTCTCTCATCTGACTCATTTCTCAGGCCCTTCATTTCATTCACAGTCTCTCAGCCCCACATGTCGTGTCAAACCCCCTTCCTCTTGATTTTGTTCCCTTTATCTTTTCTATCTCAAATGTCCTTGACAACATCTGGCGATTGAAAGTTTCAGTATAATCCCCTTGCCTAACTGACCCAGCACTGCTCACTGCCCCTTCTGATTCCAGCAGGCTGTCGTTTGCTCCTTGTCTAGGCACCAGAAGCTTTCTTCCCCATGTAGTTTGCAGCAGGAAAGAGCTACAATTTCAGGAAAACAACACTTTCTCCACCCCACACTCCCAATGATCCAGTAGCACCCTCAAAGATTCTAGTGGCGGTTTTCTTGCAGGCATCCAAGTACAAAGTAAATATAATTAAAATATAAACCACTCTTGTCTTGCCCAAACCTGAGCAAGCACAAGTCACGCCCCTGATAGAAGCTATCTGCCTCTCCCTGCCACTTTCATGTCCCTGCAGATCTTATTGCAGATGTGACCTGTAAAGTTGATGTGGACTTTTAGACTGTGTATCTGGCAGTTAGTGTGTCTCCTTTCAGCCTGTTTG